CTAGTTTTCTGACTCCATTGAGGCTGATTTTATGAGAGCAGTGTCGACTTCAGCTGCATGACCCTTGGCAGAGGCTGCTGCCTTCCACTTGTTGCAGTCCTTGGTCTTGTATTTGGCTTCACAGAACATGCACAGGTTGTTCTGGTGCTAGCAGTCTTTTTTTTTCTGAGTAAAACAGCTATCTTTGCCTAGCTTATCAGCATAGGGTTTAGGGGTGGTAGATTTTAGTGTGGAGCTGGAGTCTGAGGAAGAAGTGTTGGATCTCTTGGATTTGGGGTTGGGGGATTTATTGTCTCAGTTTTCATGGGCAATTTCAGTCTTCTGGGTCCAATAGTGAGCATCAAGTTCTTGGGCAAGGAAGTACATATCATGAAGGTTGTTTGGCTTTCCATAGTGTGCCATGTCATCCTTAATATAGGTGCAGAGGCCATGGTAAAAGGCATGGCAGAGGGAGTTATCTCCATACCCAATTTGTGAGGCATACTGGTTGAATTGGACTATATACTTCATGATCTGGTCTCTATCACACATTCAAAGGTGTTCTAATGCATCTTTGGCATCTCCAATAGCATCAAAGAGGCTGAAGTTGCTATAAAGCTCATCTAAAAAAGCTGTGTAGGAGAATTGCCAGGCTGGTGGATTCTGCAGATTGGAGTTAAGAATGTCTGATTTAAACCAGTTGAGTGTGGTGCTGGCCAGAAATGAAATAGCATAGTTAACCTTGTTAGCATCTGTTGCAAACATGGTAGGTCTGTTGTTGAAGTTCAACTGAAGGGAGACAATGAAAGCCTTTAGTTTGTGAGAGTCAGAACCATCAAATGGTTCTAGTTCCTTGACTTTGATATGGATAGTGGCTGATTTAGAGTTGTTGAGAGAAGCAGAGACTCCTTGTAACAGATTCATGAATTCTAGGAACATGTCCTGCTGGTTTGGATTGTTACTTCCTATAGGGCCATCAGAGCTGCCTAGGTCATTGGGTCCTCCTGGTTCACCTGGTCCACCTGGAAAAGAGTTTGGTGGATTACCATCTGGTTTCCATCAGATGGGAGTATGAGTAGGAGTGTCTTCATTTCTGCCCTCTGAGTCTGGGCTGTCTGAATTCTCATGCATGTTGCTCAAAAATAAGAGGTCTATTGGAGGGTCAGTTTGGGCATCATACATCAGGCTGGCCTGTCAGGCTCTGTTGGTTGGGATGCTGGTAGCATCAAAAGGGTTAGAGGAATTGTCATAATTAGGTTGGCAGGCAGTGAAGCTAGAGTGATTGTAAGTTTCCCTACAGGAAGATTGTCCTCTACTGGAGGCTGATCCAAAAAGGTCTGATTGTTCCTTTGAGGCAGAGGCCAGAATGTCTTCCATGGAAAACATGTTTGGATGGGTAAGCTGGGTTTGTTTGGGATCAGTTTCTGTGGATTGGATAAATGTGGTGGACATGATAAAATTTTTGACTCAAGGGTTTGAGTTTGAATATACTGTTAGGAACATGCCAATCAAGTGGGCTTGAGTGCATGCATGGAGACTGGCAGAGTGCATGGGTGTTAATGAAGCTATTGGCAATGTTCCCCTTGAGTCAGACCCAAGGATTTGGATGGACAGAACAGAGTTCTGTCAGTGGAGTGAAGGATATCCTTCAGAGCAGAGTCCATCAGATAAGATAGAGAGGAGTTGAAATGAGCACAAAGTGTGAATGGCTATCCAAGTTGATATTTGAACTGAGTAGTTACAATGGTTATACATGGCTTTATATACTAATAGTAGCTAATTCCGAGTTGGGTTCCATTGGGTTCTGATATCAATATTCACTACTGAGTTTGAGGTCTAGATATTACAATGTGAAATACAGATGTGAAATGATAATAGTGAAAATGAAATTAATAGGTAATGGGGAGCAGCTAGAGTCCAGTGGGTTTCTGTGATTGTATTTGTAGCTGGTTGAGATGACATGGAGGCCAGTGGCATGCATGTAACAGACACATTATGGATCACAAGAGTATTTGAATGGATTCTGTGAAGGTCAATTTTATAGCCACATAGAAGGTCTCAACTAATTGAGACCTCTTGCATGCCTTCCTAGAGTCTATAGAATACCTTGCTGATCACATGGTGGATGTGTGGATACCCATGAGAGTATTACATGGGCTAACTGGGAATACAGTGTCTTTTCACTGGACTGTGACTCATCAGCATGCATTTGATGAAGTCAAGAAATACATACAGGTTTTTCATGATTATCATCAGATACCACTCAACTACAATAAGGATGCTCCTACTATCAATCTGATAACAGATGCAAGCACTACTGGCATTGCAGGTGTTGTAAGCCAAGGAGATGACTGGTGAACAGCAAGCATAGCTGCCTTTTTCTCAGCAAAGTTGAAGCTGACACAATAAAACTATCCTGTACATAAGCTGGAAATGTTTTCAGGCATAGAAACTATGAGATGCTACTGAGATATCCTGTTAGAATACCACTTCAAGTGGTATACAGACTATAAGAGCCTTATCCACCTCTTGCATCAGAAGAATCTGTCTGGCTGACAGGCTTGCTGGATAGAGCTCATCTCTGACTATGATTTTGAAATACTCTATATACCTGGAGTTGAGAATGTTCTAAGTGATGCACTATCCCACTTGTACTCTAATGATAGTGCTGGTACTATATGTGCAGCATCAGAATTTGCTATTCATGATAAAGATCATCCACCTACAAAAGATGATAAGGACTTGGCTGCTTTTCTTATGGTTGGACTTGAGGCAAATGTGATACAGGTCACCACAGCTGCAAATGACTCTTGTTCTAATCTGCCTCACAAACCTTGCAAAAATGAGTCAGCCATAGCATTTGTAAGATATATAGCTGGGAAGGTTCATATTCTTGGTTCATGGGATGGCCATAGCCCTGCTGCACCCAGTAACATTGATGAGATGGGTGGCACAGCAATGATAGACAGGAATGCTGCATCTGGCCTGCCTACTCACAATGATGAAATCAATCTCATGAGAACAAATGCTCAATCCAACCTTGCAGCAGCACCTGACTCTCACACTCTGATGCTGAGTGAGGCAGCTCTTGGCAAGATGCTGGACTCATCCTTAGTTGCTCTCCAACAAATTCTATGCTATAATACATATATCTAATAGTGATAACTCCATGCTGTCTAAGATTGTCTCCTCTCTGAGTAAGTTCAAGAACTTCTCTCTCAGGCATAGAATCTTGTTCTTGTGATCTGGAGGGCAAGACTTGCTTTGTATCCCTCAGAAAGCTGAAATAAATGGCAGGACAATTAGAGAACTGGTGATCAGTGAAGGTCACTCTCTGTTGGCACACTTGAGTGCCAATAAAACTATAGCTTACCTCTCTGATCATGTCTAGTGGAAGATGTTAGTAGCAGATGTTCATGACTTCTGCACATCTTGCAAGACCTGCAAATAGTCAAAGCCACCCAATCAATGTCTCTTTGGTCATCTGAACCTATTACAGATACTCAGTCAACCTTGGCAGACAATTGGTGTTGACTTCATGAGCCCTCTCCCTGATTCATCTAATAGAGATAGTGTCTTTAACTCTATAACTGTTATAATTGATATTCTTTCATTGATGATCCACCTTGTATCTAGCTGGACAGACTACACAACACCCCAAGTGGCTGAACTAATGTTCAACAATGTGTTCAAGCTTCATGGATTGCCTGAACATATCATTTCTGACTATGATGTTCTCTTTACAAACAATTTTTGGATCTCACTCCACAGGCTTATGGGTGTAAGCTTGAAAATGTCAAGCTCTTACCATTCTCAGACTGATGGCTCTATGAAATGTGCCAACTGAACCATGATACAAATGATTCAGTCATGCATATTGCTAGACCAGAAAGATTGGGTGCTACACCTGCCTGGCATTGAGTTTGCCATTAACTCATTAAGCTCTGAATTAACAGGGTTTGCACCTTTCTTTGTCAACTATGGCCAAGTGCCCTGCACATTTGTATAGTCTGCTCTGTCAAATGATGTGTATCCTGGTGTTCATAAATTTGCCCTATGGATAAAGCATACTGTTCTTGCTGCTCATGTCAAACAGACTTGGGATGCAAATTGTTGCCACCACCCTTCTCCATTCACTGCAGGAGATTTGGCCTACATCTCAACATGGAATTTGACATTGCCAAAGGGTCTGGCCTGTAAGTTAGCACCTAAATTCATTGGCCTTTATCAGCTGCTGTCAGATTTTGACAACAACTCCTTTGAGGTTGATCTACCTCCTGAAATAAAGCATTGTGGTGTCCACTCAGTCTTTCATTCATCACTGCTATGCATCCATATACTGAATAATGACATGCTATTCTCTGGTTATGCTGATATGACAATTGGCCTGGCTAAGGATGATAATGCTGTAGAGTAGCAATTGAACTGCTTTTTAGCTCACAAGGGCAGAGAGGAACAGAGCCTCTTTCAGGCTGAATAGTCATCTGGTGATATCATCTGGCTGTCTGTTGCTGAAGCTGAGAAATTCTCTTGCTTTCAGGATTACTTTGATATCCTAGAGGTTCATGACATTACAGAACTTCTATTTTTGACTCAGGAGCCAACAGAGGCACTTCTGAACATGGTTCATATATCTTGAGATAATATAAAAGGGAGAAACACACTAGCCTCTCACCAGATAACTATGCCCCTTGCTGTTCCAGGTTTCTCTTCAAAAAATCTGGACCTTCTTATCTTTTTGAATACTGATAGGACTTGCATTATACCTCATGCTCTGATCCTCATGTACTTGTGCTATGATAGGTATCTTTATAGCCATGAATGTGAGGCTGATTGTGTGAAGCCTATCAGATATGAACACTTCTATGTACATTGGAATTCCTGCCCCACAATAACATGTTTCCTTGCATTTGAAGAGGAGGATGGTACAGTAGTTATCTGGAGTGATGAGAGCCCTACTATAGATGACTTTCTTTCCCCCCTCCCCCCCTTTGAAGAAGCACCCTGCTGGAAGAGACATCATGCCAAGAGTGTTTAAAACCCCCAGACATAAAGAGATTGCACTGGAGGCTGTCTTCAGTCAAGTGGCTTCTGCTCAGAAGCATGCACCTCACCAAAAAGTATCTTGTCAACCTCAGGCTGGCTGGCAATGTTACTTCAGGAGTGGCTCATAGGCCTCTACACCTGGTGGTGAGATGATGGTCCATGAGGATCCTCCTGCATCTGTATTCACTCCAGCATTGAATTCCTTGGCTGCAAGTATGGTCTCTCCACCCACTGAATGTCTCAGGACTCCAGTCTTCATGCTGACTGCATCTTCTTCCACTGAAGAACTAGCTGCCCTATTTGTTTTTGATCTCAAGCCCACCATCAGGACTATGGTAACCCTAAAGAATACACCTACTGCTGCAGCCCCTCTGTCTGAACAGGATGTCACAATGGATGAATACACTGCACTATCTGAGATGGAATCAGACACAGATAACCTGTTCAACTTCAGGGATGTCAATCTCTCAGATGTGGAAATTGGCTCAACTGCCAATTTCATCTCTATCTAGCTTCAGATGCTTGCTGTGCATAGTGCTGGAGGGCATATGTAACACATCAAATGACATTGACCCTTTTACCACTTCTAACTCTACTATCTACTAATTTCATTTTACTTTTATTATTTTACATTCATATTTCACATTATAGTATCTAGACTCTGACTTGTAATTAACTACTATTAGTATATAAATCATATACAATTATTTTAAATACTCAGTTTGAATATCAACTTGGATAGCTATTTATATTTCATAACCATGTCAGCTTCTCACTCTCATCTGCTGGATTCTGCTCTAAAAGACATCCCTCTTCATCTCTCTGATGGACTTCATTCTGTCAAATCCAAATTCTTGGATCTCAACTCAAAGGTAACATTGCCAATAGCTTCATTGATGCTTACGCACTCTGCTGGTCTCTATATATGCACTCAGCTCAGTCATTTGGCATATTTCTAACAGTGAGTTCTATGAGTTCAGTGAGAGGCTAAGGGTGGAAGGTCACTGTTGTCATCAGAGATGATGATGAGGCTGCTGGCATGTTCAAAAGAGCTGCTGCTCATATGTAGATCTAGAGAGCTTGCAAGATAGCTTTGTTCAGCCAGTTCTGGTCATCAGTTGTTGGGGCCTTTGATGGAAACCTTGACTGTTAGTGCTTCTTTGCCATACTCTCTTCAAAGGATATTTTCTCTCTCAGCACCAATGTCTATAGTACTAACTTCTGGATTGCTTTCAGAAAGTTAGATTTTCTGCTGATTTGAGAGGTAGGTCTCTTTGACCTAGCAGAGAAGATGGATTGTGAGTCTAGATGCCTCAAACTTATATCTGCTGATAATTCTGTAATAGCAAGGACAAGAGTGGATCTGAGAGAGTCAAGTGTTCTAGTGGTAGGAATTCCAATGATCTAATAGTCAATGATACCAGTTGTATATCTCTCATCTGTAGATATAGGAGATGTAAAGAAACAGCAGAGTTACTATCAAAACAGAGATGAAAACTATAATTGTGAAGTAAAGAGCAAATTACATATAGTACTCTCAGTGTTTAGCTAAGAAAAAGACAGGTCAAGCTTTGAGCTAATTGTTAGACTCAAGCATCATATGAGTGTGATATTCAAGATATTGCAAGCAGCTCAAAAGTAGATAGTATAGAATAAATTTTAGCTTGAAGCTGGGTCTACTACAGTGAGAACTATGCTACTTATATACAATTCTGAGTATGATAAATATAGTCCTACTTATTATGTCTGTCTGTGGTCTATAACTAAGAAGCATGTGATGCATGTGTGAAACAATTAAATACTAAAATATTAGTCACAAGCTATAATATAATGGCATAAGTCATCTCATATAGTTGTGGTTATCAGTCCAGCAGATAGAGATAAGTGTACATAATTAGATAGGTGCTTGATAAGATAAGATAAGCAGAAAAAATCATAACAGATTGAGGCTGTAAGCATAATTTGGTTTGCAGTCTGTGCTATTTATTACATTTGTGCCTGATGTGCTATGTGTCATCTCCAACTTCAGTCATTGTATGTTCCATCTCAGAAGGTTTAAATACAGTTACTGAAGCTAGTTGCTCAGAATGTTATAGTGGTGCAGATGCAATATTTGATATGTCAGGCTTATTGTTCACTAAGTCTGACTTACAGTTTATCAAGTCTAATAGTGGAATCACAGTAGTTGCAATTGTACAGTCAGGAAATAAGATAGACACATTGCTATCATGTATGACTGCAGACTGGTCCTGTGTTAGAATAGAAGCCAAAAGCACTGGAGATGTGGGTACTGAGTTCAGCATGAGTTGCATATTGGTTGGAGTGGAGCTGAGCTCTCAACTTTCAATGAATTGAATATGATATGAAGGTATTACTTTTTTGGATGACTTATAGTAACAGTGATATGTTTTAGAATCCTAGCCATAATCAATGAGAGTGTATTCTTCAGAATAGTATAGGATTTTTAGATGATAATGGCTTTGGATTAGTATGAAGGCTTTGCAGCTAATTTTTTGCAGGTGTGATATATCAGATTTTCATTCATGCTATTTTTCATATAGAGTTGAATCTTGAAGTGACTTTATTGCTATAAGGTTATTCAAGTAAGTAGCAGTGATATAGAATTCATTCTAGAGGTTCTCTGGATATCTGGAATATAGTCTCATAGTTCAAGCTTTATTCATTAAGATGCAGTGATGATGTTCTATGTGACCAATATATGCTGATGTATGAGAGGCAGTGAACTGCTGCTAAACTCCTCTAGATTTGAGCTACATCAACATCTCATTAGATTTGAGTTTCCTGTTGTCTGTCTGATAGATTCCAACATGAAGTTCTGTTTCATTCTCTCTTGCCCATTCTCAGGCTTGCAGTTCTGGTAGCAAATCATCTTTATTTCACAGCAGAATCAACTATTTATGACTCAAATAATCATCTATGATATCCATCATATATTGGGTTTCTGTTCTCAACACAACTGCCTCTAGTCTGATCAAGTCTATTTATATAATTTCTAGTTTCCACACAGTCCTATGCTTCTCCTTTTGAGTCTTTAAGACAGACATCTTTGTCCATTTTCCAAGGACAAAATAAAATGTAGATATAAAATATTAGAAGATAATTCAAATTAAACAGTATGAGATAGAGATGAGCAGAGTCTGATGAAGGCTATTGCTGACTTGTAGGTTGTTGATAGTTGTGGTGTGAGGCAGAGGCCATTGACACTTATATAATACCTCTCTATAGAGCCTGAATGTCTTCATCACTGTCTTCTGTCTAAGAATCTCAAAAGTTCTCTTTTCTTTGATGAAAGATGAACCAGTATGAAATGCCATTGGTGCATATTCAGTGAAATTCTCATAGTTTTGAAAGAAGTAACTGCTAGCTCCAGAGTCTATAAATGTCAGAGTTACAGACAGTGTGTGCTCTTTGAATGTAATTGTCACAAAGACTGTTCCACTGATGTCTGCCTCACAGATGAATCCATTTTCATTAACAGTGGTATCCACAGAAGAAAGTATGTTATCATGAAGTTCATCAACTTCAATTTCATTATCAATATTTATAAGTGATAGTATATTGGAATCTATCTCATTCTCTAAATTGGTGTACTTAGTGATAGACATCTCACTCTCAAAACTAGAGCTCTCCTCTGAGGATTCACTGATTGATATCAGTTCTGATTCATTATCAGATTTATCCCTTTGCCAGAAAGGCCTGATGTCACTCTATTGATATATTCTCTCTCTAGTACTGTTATTCTCAATGACAAGCCATCATTATCATGTTCAATCTCAATAGTGGTTGTGTGTATAGCAAGAACAAAGTGCCTGTGAGTCTCAGCCAAGTTATTCATGCATGCTTGGTTTACATGATAGGGATAGCTAAAGTTAGAGGGAAACTGTTTCTTCTTTCTACCACTGTGCCAATAGTAATTTTTCATAGTGTATCAGATTTTATCACAGGCCTTACACTTGGGATTGTAACATCCACAGGAAGTTGTAGGAGCTCCAACTATGAGGGCTTGAGATAGAGATAGTCCTTTGCCCACTAACACACTCTCTATATATTCATACATGTAATTTTGTGAATTATAATAATACATTGATTATATTCATATCTACTACACATGCAATAGAAGATATAAGTAGCATGCAATAAAATGAGATTTAATATGATATCTGACCTGAGTGATGATTGGTGGAGTGCATGGCCTAGTAGCAGAATGATACTGGAGAGATTGTACTGCATATGAGGTTGTTGGCATCTGCATTGTCTTTATGACAAAGGATCCAAGACACTGAATACAATAGACATTTATTACAATAAACTTATATTGTCTACAGAATATTGCCACTCAAGTTTAGTATATAAAAGACATTAGATAGTCATGCTACCTCAGTCACTTGCATCATACAGAGCTTTAGACTGAGGTATACCTTTATTTTATCTTTACTTTTACACTGGCTGATTATATCTATAGATATATTTCTCTAGTATTAGTTTCTCAAAAGTTATAGGTGTTTGCTGCATTTGAACTTAACAAAATAAATGACAACTTACACCATTATCATATCTTCTAAAGAAACAGCAACTTTGCAGACAACCTTGAGTGCCATCCCCACTATGTCTAAAGGCCTTATTATGGCTGAAATTCAGGTCAAGAACTTTCAACAACTCTCTATTCCTCTTATCATCACCTCTGCAAGCACTTACAGTGTTGATAAACTTGACAAGGAGATCAAAAATTGGCACTCTAGAAGCTGAGATATCTTGAATTGCTGAGCTCTCACTAGTAGCATAAATGAGATGACTTTCTTACCTTAAAAAATGATTCCTTCCAAGATCATATGTGACATAGGCAACTCATTTATATATACTATTGGTGTCAGCACCATCTATATCTCTAATCTGAATGAGATACTAATTACTCTTCAAAATGTCCTATATATTTCTTCAGCCTCTGTTCATCTTTTATCTGTGTCTACTCTTATATGTGAATCTGAACTAATTGCACACTTTGATGCAGATGAATGCTGACTTATATCCAAGGAGACAGGCACCACAGTTGCTATAAATCAGCTCAGCCTAAGCAGAAGCATCTACAGTCTAATAGCAGATAATTCCTTAGAAGCCAACCATGTCTTCATAACCTTCTCATCTATATCTGATCTCAAAATGTGGCACAAAAGACTTGGCTATGTCAACTATCAGACTATAGCCAAAATGGTGAAATCTAGCTCCCTTCAAGGTATATCCATCAGTTTGTCCAAACTATAGGATTACTTAGCATCAGAATCCATCAGACACCAACTCAGAGTTAATTACTAGTATATAAGCTCTGTATAATCATTGTAATACTCAGTTTGAATATCATCTTGAATAGCCAATACTCCTCATGCTCACTCCTGTTCTATTAGAAATGTGCTAATTGATTGGGCTTGAGTGCACATGCAGAGACTGAGAGTGTATAGATATTAATAAAGCTAGTGGCAACATCACTCTTGAGTTG